TGAGACGGGGTCATGCAAAGTAGCCCGCGCTGTCCTTAAACTCAGATTCTCCCGGCTCAGCCTCCCAAGTGCTAGGACTGCAGGTATATCCCACCCACGCCCACCTCTGCTGAAGTCATTTCGAACAGGTTCTGTCACAGCCTGGAGTGCTGTGTACTGAAAATCTGAGCCTACAGTTTGTCAGCTGGTTCACCACTCCATGCAAAAGGGGCCACTAGCCAGTCACAGGGAGGCCCCGCCCCTTCTAGCTTCACTGTGGCTGCAGCTAGGAGACGCAGGTGTCAGCTGCGTGTCCTCGGGGGTCACAGCTAACCTGCACACCAAATCTATCCCCAGAGGCTGCAACCTGTAGTCATAACCAACCCTGCCCCACCAGACACCTGAATGTGGCCAAGTAAACTACGCCACACACCTGGAATGCCAGATGATGCACAGAGGAGCTGGAAGTGGGGGGTCCCCAAAGCTGTCTGGGTCCTGCAGCTGAACCTGAGAACTGCACTCGCTCTCTGTTTTGTTGTGGTTTTTTAATGTTTCGAGATAGGGTCTCACTATGTAGTCCAGGCTAACCTCAAACTGAAGAAGATCCTCCTGCTTCAGCCTTCCGAGTACTGGGATGACAGGAATGTGCACCACCGCACCTGGCTTCTCCTTGTACAAGGGAGAGCGAGGACAGGAAGAAGACAGGGTCTGGCCCCCCTCATGAGCACCAGGCTGTGACCCTAGCAGCCCTGCGGTGTCCTGGGGCCACTGTGCAGCCCCACAAAAGGCTTTGCTTCCTTCCTCCCACTTAGGAGAGAAACGGGGGCTCAAGTTTGAGATGGCCGGATGTCAGCACAGGGCCAGGCTCAGAGCAGCAGAGGAAGCCGTGGGACAGGGACAGGAGGAGAGGCAGGATGGAGCAGGGTGAGGTGAGCTATGCAGGGACCCACATCTGCCTGGACCATGAGCCCCAGGTGGCACCAGGGCTGGGCAGATGGCAACAGGCAGGCAGTGAGCGCTTCCTGCTCCACATGCTCAGCTCAGGGTCTGAACAAGGCCTCTGGGACCCCGGGCTTTGCGAGGGCCGAACCTTCTGCTCCCATGCTGTCTGCCTGATGCACCTGGCGTGGCCTGGCCTGCTGCTTCTGAGGCTGCTGTGCTGTTGCAGGGTTGCCCTGGGCCAGGGGCTGCCAGCAGCACCATGCAGTGCCCCGCTCTGAGCCCATCCCAACCCCCAAGGGAGAGCAAGCAGGCCCGTGCAGTGCCTGCCTCGAGGTGCTGCTCTGCTCTAGCTGGGAGATTCTACCCAGCAAGCCGGACTTGCCAGACAGGTATGGCGGTGCACGCTTGTGCACTCAGGCAGCCGATGCAGGAGGATCAAGGTTCTACATAGTGAGCTCAGGGCCGGTCTGAACCACATAAGCAGAGCCGGCCTCAACCCCCCCAATTTAAAAAAAAAAAAAGGGCTGGGGATTTGGCTCAGTGGTTCTGCCAACTGCCTCGCAAGTGCAAGGGCCCTAGTTCGATCCCAGATACCACCCCCCAAATAGACTTGCCAGCCAGATGTGGCAGCGCACACCTAGAATCCCAGCACTCCAGAGGCTGAAGCAGGAAGATTGCCATGAGTTCAAGGCCAACCTGAGCTACATAGGGAAACCCTGTCTCAAAAAAATAAAAAAGATTTGCCTTCTGGCCCTACCCACCAATTCCAAACCATCAACTCCCTCAAATAACTGGGGTCCCGCAGTAAGCCTTGCAAGCAGAGCAGTAGCTCAACAGCCAATTTTTTTAAGTTTCACACAAACGTTTCATTTATTAAAATAATTTCTGTAAACACTCTAAATAATAAAATTCACTTTCCATTCTTGAGAAGCATTTCAAGGCACCATAAAATGATGGTCTCTCTAAGCACAGCCCTTCTTCCACGTACGAAAATCCTATTAAAAAAAAACTTGCCATTGACCCCGGCCACAGGCCATTGGGGACAGGTCCAACGTCACAGGAGCTGGCCATCTGGGAAGAGATCTACTGCTGCTGTCCCAAGCAAACAAAGACGAACCCAACCCTTGTGACAAAGGGCGAGTGGGAGCCCTCTGTGGTGGACATAACTGTGACCCTAGCACTCAGAGAGGCTGAGGCAGGAAGATTCCAAGTTTGAGGTCAGCCTGAGCAACTTATTGAGAGCCTGTCTCAAAATGAAAAAACAAAGGCTGAGAATGTAGCTCAGTGCAAAGGTCCCATGTTCAATATCCAGTACTGGGAGGAAAAAAAAAAAAAAAAAAAAAAAAAAAACAGCCAGTGGGATGGGGGCACAAGGCCCCCACGGGCAGAGCCCTCACTTCCGGGTCTCCTCCTCGCTCAGGCTGGCATCACCTGGGCTTGTGGTCACCAGCTTGCTCTGCAGCAGCGCCGCCAGCTTCTTGGAAGTCTTTTGCAGGAGGGCGCTGCCGGGGTGTGCGTGGTGCACATGCAGGTACAGGTCCTCCTGCGAGGGCCCCGTGTGGCCGCAGTCCTCACACACGTACAGCTTGTCCCGCCGCTGCTTGTAGGCATACTGCTGGTGCACGCCGTGGATCTTCTTCAGGTGCGACTCCAGCGAGCAGCGCTGTGTGAAGGCCTTGTTGCACACATCGCACTTGTAGGGCCGGATGCCTGCAAGGAAGAGGGCGACAGCCAAGTCACCAGCAGGTCAAGGCTGCACCACAGCCTCCCTCCCACCGCCGGCAAAGATCACGTGACCGGGAGGGGGCAGCTCCTGGAGGAGGCGGACCCAGCGGTAGGCAGAACTGCCTCGAGGCCTCCCCTGCCTCTGGAGGGAGACCTGTCCTCCCCACTGGGGGTCTTCGAGTTCTCAGCCAAACGTGGCAAAGGAAAGGAGATGGGTGTGGTGGCCCACACCTGCCATTCCAGCATCTGGGAGGCTGAGGCAGGAGGGCCCCAAGGCCCCCAGCCTGGCAACCTACTAAGTGAGACCCTGTCTCAAAATAAATGAAAAATAAATGAAAAATAAAAGGGG